CCAAAACCGCCCCCCAAACCTGAACCCCAAAACTGCACCCCAAATCTGCTCCCCAAAACTGCCCCCCAAATCCTGCACCCCAAAACTGCTCCCCAAAACTTCATCCCAAACCCTGCTCCCCAAATCCTGCTCCCCAAAACTGCACTCCAAATCTGCTCCCCAAATCCTGCCCCCCAAAACTGCACTCCAAATCTGCTCCCCAAATCCTGCCCCCCAAATCTGCTCTCCAAATCTGCACCCCGAATCTGCTCCCCAAATCTGCTCCCCAAATCCTGCACCCCAAAATTGCACCCCAAATCCTGCACCCCAAATCTGCACCCCAAATCCTGCACCCCACATTCTGCACCCCAAGTTCTCAACCACAAACCTTCCCCCAAAACCTCAGCCAGTCCCCAAATCCTGCACCCCAAAGCCCAGCCAGCCCCCCAACCTGAACCCCAAATCCTACAGGTGTGCCCAGGTGTGTGTGCCCAGGTGTGTGTGAGTGTGCCCAGGTGTGCCCAGGTGTGCCCTGTGCAGGTGTGCCCAGGTGTGTGTGAGTGTGCCCAGCTGTGCCCAGCTGAGCCCAAACCCTATGCAGGTGTCCCCAGGTGTGCCCAGGTGTGCCCTGAGCCCTGTGCAGGTGTCCCCAGGTGTGCCCAGGTGTGCCCTGAGCCCTGTGCAGGTGTCCCCAGGTGTGCCCAGGTGTGCCCTGAGCCCTGTGCAGGTGTCCCCAGATGTGCCCAGGTGTGTGTGAGTGTCCCCAGGTGTGCCCAGGTGTGCCCTGAGCCCTGTGCAGGTGTCCCCAGGTGTTCCCAGGTGTGTGTGAGTGTCCCCAGGTGTGCCCAGCTGTGCTCTCACACCCCTGGAATCACCCCAGCTGCCCACAGGTGGTGGCACAGGGCACACGTGGCTGACCCACGGCCCCTTGCACACCTGGAATCACACCCGGTGCCCACGGGTGACGCAGGGGTCACACTGAAGTCCCCGTGTGTCCCCGCAGGTAGGGGCAGGTGGAGGTGCCACATCCCTGTCCCCACTGTGTCCCCCCACACATCCCTGTGCCCGCTCCGTGCCACACCTGGTGACACAGGTGACACACTCAGGTGTCACCTCCCTGTCCCTGCAGGCGGTGGTTGTGTGGAGGTGCCTGTACCCACACTCAGGTGTTCCAGGTGTCCCTCAGGTGTCACTCAGGCGTCACTCAGGTGTCCCAGGTGCCACAGGTGTCCCACTCAGGTGTCCCAGGTGTCCCTCAGGTGTCACTCAGGCGGCACTCAGGTGTCCCAGGTGTCACAGGTGTCACTCAGGTGTCCCCTGTCCCGCAGGCGGTGTCCATGTGGAGGTGCTTGTACCCAGAGACAGGTGTCACTCAGGTGTACCCCCGGCGTCACTCAGGTGTCCCAGGTGTGACAGGTGTGACAGGTGTCCCAGGTGTCTCTCAGGTGTCCCAGATGTTACACTCAGGTGTCCCACGTGTCTCTCAGGTGTCCCAGGTGTCGCACTCAGGTGTCCCAGGTGTTACACTCAGGTGTCCCAGCTGTCCCCCAGGTGTCCCACTCAGCTGTCCCCCGTGTCCCGCAGGCGGCGGCCGCGTGGAGGTGCCTGTACCCACAGACAGGTGTCACACTCAGGTGTCCCAGGTGTCACACACAGGTGTCCCAGGTGTCACACTCAGCTGTCCCCCGTGTCCCGCAGGCGGTGGCCGCGTGGAGGTGCCTGTACCCACAGACAGGTGTCACACTCAGGTGTCCCAGATGTTACACACAGGTGTCCCAGGTGTCACACACAGGTGTCCCAGCTGTCCCCCAGCTGTCCCTCAGCTGTCGCCCGTGTCCCGCAGGCGGCGGCCGCGTGGAGGTGCCGCGCAGCGTGACGGCCGTGCTGGGGCAGGACGTGGTGCTGCCGTGCCGGTACCGGGCGCAGGAGCAGGAGCAGGTGGTGCAGGTGACGTGGCTGAAGCGCGGCCCGGGCGCGGTGCCCGCCGAGGTGGCCGTGCTGAACCCGCAGCACGGCGAGCACGTGCAGGAGCCCTTCGCGGGCCGCGTGCTGCGCCACGGCCACGGCGACCTGGGCGACGGCGCCATCGTCCTGCGCAACGCCGTGCAGGGCGACGAGGGCGACTACGAGTGCCACCTGATCACCTTCCCCATGGGCAACTTCGAGGGGCGCCTCACGCTCAGGGTGCTGGGTGAGCGCGGGGACACGAGGGACACGGGGGACACAGGGACAGGGGACACGGAGACGGGGGACACGGGGGATGTGGGTATGGGGGACACAGGGACAGGGGACGCTTGGGACACGGGGACACGGGGGATGTGGGTATGGGGAACACGGGGACACATGGGACATGGGGACGGGGGACACGTAGGACACAGGGGACGTGGAGGGTATAGGGGACACAGGGACAGGAGACATGTGGGACATGGGACATAGGGGGTATGGGGGACATGGGCACAGGGGACACATGGGACACGGGACATGGGGGGTATAGGGGACATGGAGACAGGGGACACGTGGGACATGGGACATGGGGGATGTGGGACACAGGGGACATGGGGAGTATGAGGGACACGGGGACAGGGGACACAGGGGACGTGGGTATGGGGGCGCACAGGGGACATGGGGTACGTGGGACACAGGGGACGTGGTGGGTATGGGGACATGGGGCATGTGGGACATGTGGGGATGGGGATATGGGACATGTAGGGCACGTGGGACAGGGGACATGGGGCAGGTAGAGCACGTGGGATATGTGGGATGGGGGACATGGGACATGTGGGACATGTGGGGCACTTGGGAGAGGGGACATGGGGCACACAGGACACAGAGGGTATGGTGGGCACAGGGGACATGGGGCACTTGGGACATGGGGGGTGTAGAGGACATGGGGGACGTGAGACACAGGGCACGGGGGACATGGGACACATGGGACATGGGAGTTATGGGGGACACAGGGGACAATGGAGCACGTGGAGGGCAGAGGGGACACCATGGGCATGGGGGATTTGAGGACTTTGGGGACACAACGGGCACCGGTGCCACGCAGACACCCCAGACACCCAATAAACCCAATAAACCCAATAAACCGCCGTCCCCACCGCGCCCCTAACCGCCGTGTCCCCCCCGCAGTGCCCCCGCTGCCCATCCTGAACCCGGGCCCGCCGCTGGAGGAGGGCCAGGGCCGGACGCTGGCGGCCTCGTGCACGGCCGAGGGCAGCCCGGTGCCCTCGGTGCGCTGGGAGACCGAGGTGCGCGGCACCAACGCCACGCGGCGCTCGGCCCACGCGCGCTCGGCCTCGGTCACCAGCGAGTTCTTCCTGGTGCCCGGGCGCAGCATGAACGGCAAGAGCCTCACCTGCGTGGTGGCACACCCCGGCCTGCGCCACGAGAAGAGGATCACGCACCTGCTCAGCGTCGCCTGTGCGCCAGCGGGCACCGCCGGGGGCGGGGGGTCTTGGGGGACATGGAGGGTGTTGGGAATGTGGGGGGCACTGGGGACGTGGGGGGGTGCATTGAGGACATGGGGGCCTTGGGGACACGATGGGCAGTGGGGACATGGGGAGCCTTGAGGGACACAGATGTGTTGGGGGTATTGAGAGGTGTGGAGGACACTGGGGACACAGAGGGTCTTGGGGACATCCTGGGCGCAGGGGATG